TCACTCGGTTTCGGAACAAGCACGCTGTGAGGCCCCCGGTCGATCAATTAGCCTCCTTACTGAGGACACCCTTCACGGCGGAGATAATGGCCCAGCCTTACCCGCTCGATCTGCAAGTCCCGGGTAACAAAGAATATGACGGGCGTACAGACCCTGAGGTCCATGTCAACACCTACTATGGCAACATGTTGATGATGGGTGTGTCTGACGCCGTAATGTGTAGGGATTTTTATTCCACGCTCACCGGTCGGGCAGCGGAATGGTTCAGATCACTCCAGCCGGGTTCCGTCACTGATTTTGAAACTCTGGCGAGGAAATTCAACCGCAAGTTTGTGACCTCTAAGGTCATAAGAAAGCCCTACATGTACTCGGAGAAGGCCAAACAACTGGAGGGGGAGAGCCTGTCCGAGTTCCTGGTAAAATGGAAAGCAGCGGTCGGGGAAGTAGAACCGATGGACGATCTCACCGCCATCCATATGCTCCACATTTCCCTCCGGGCCGGCTATTTATACCAGGACTTCATCCTCCATCCCCCGACCACATATGAAGAGGCCCTCCGAAGGGTGACGGATTATGCTAATGCCGGAGAAGCGAACGCTGTCAAAAGATTGCAGGAGGTCGGGACTTCATCCCGGAAGCCCACTGGCCGGGCGGAGCATCGATCAGGTGATGACCATCCCCGACCCCGTACCCGGCCAGGGGAATTTAAGGCCTTGAACCGATCCGCAGTGGAAGCTATGCAATACGCCAAATCCTGCAATCTCATTCGCCTCCCTCATTCCGGGCAAGACGGACCGGACAAGTCTAAGCACTGTGCTTATCACCTTTGTGCCGGGCATGACACGGGGGAATGCACACACTTAAGGCAGCTGTTGGAAGACTTGCTTAGTTTGGGAAAGCTGGATAAGTGTGTGGGTAAAAGAGAAGAGACCAAGAAGGTTGCCGATCGGAGAGATCACAAGCGCTCCCACCACCGCTCAGATCGTTCCGATCGTTCAGATCGGCCGGGTCAAGACCGCAGAGACCCCGACCCTCCATCCAGCAGCCGATCGGCGGCCAAACCGACCATTCATGTGATCTTTGGCGGTTTGGAGGACGCACCCCGACCCCAGGAGAGTTGCCCGGTCGCGATCGTAGACTCCCGTGAAACCAGCAAAAGGCAGAAGATGGAGCCCATCACCTTCTCTTTGGAGGACCAGCCAAATAGTGGAGACCACGGCATGGAAGCCCTCGTGGTCACAGTTGATGTGAACGGGACCGATGTCCACAGAGTCATGGTGGACACAGGGAGCAGTGCCAATGTCCTTTATTTGGACGTGTTTGAGAAGCTAAAATTGGACAAGCCGGAGCTGATTCCGGTCGGCGTACCCTTGTCGGGAATCACCGGGGCCACCATACGCCCTGAAGGAAAAATCACGCTCCCCGTCGAGATCGGTACCCCGCCCAAATCTGTGAAGACTGAAATGGAGTTCGTTGTGGTTAATCTGCACTGCGTCCACAACATTATCTTGGGCCGACCGGCTATCATGAAGATCGGTGGGATCATCTCCATGCCCCATCTATGCATGAAGTTCCCCACCCCGAACGGGGTCGGAGTTGTACGCGGAGATGTTCAATCCGCAAGGAAATGTTACACCCAAGCCGTTAACAAACGTGATACTGGCACGTCTTCTCGGGTGAATACCATTGTAAAGGAAGCCACCAGTGATCGGAAGGAACAACCTGAGCCTTTCGAAGAGATTGAAGAAGTTCCCCTGTCCGAGGAACGACCGGACAGGAAGATTAAAATTGGTCGGGCCCTCACCCCCGAGCTGCGGTTGGAAGTACTGGCAATCCTCCGAGAATTTGCCGACATCTTTGCGTGGGGGCCCGAGGACATGCCCGGGATCGACCGTACCGTTATCTGCCATAAACTTGCTGTAGATCCCGCGGCAAAGCCGGTCGTGCAGAAGACGCGGCACTTGTCTTCCGACCGCCGAGAGTTCGTTAGAGAGGAGGTCAGGAAAATGACGGCGATCGAGCACATCACAATTGGCTGAAGAAGGCTGAAATCTGAATGCTCGATCGATGCTTTGAGTGCTCGCTCAAGATGCTCTGATCGACTTGAAGGGTTGGTGGAAGTTCAAATGAATCTCAGAAGGGCCTATTTAAAGGAAAACATTTGGGCGGGAAACGGCCCATTTGCGCGAGGTGACCGTTCCGGACTTCGAGGCGACCGTTGCAGTCTCTGAGGTGCGCAGAAGTCAACACGTGGCACGACAGGTGACAGCTGTCCGGTCAAGTTTGGCGGCGGCTGATTGGACTTCTTCATCCCGTCCCGTTTTTTCCCGGGCGGTTAAAAAGGCCCGGGCTGGGGGGGCTCTTGGTAGTGAATACCCCGACCGACGTGCCACGTGTTTTATTGTTGTTTATGCAGGTTTACAGGTCGGATATTCCTGAAGGAACCCGGTCGGACCCGACCGGTGCATCTTCGGACCGATATCTTCAACACCCGATCGGCGATCCTTGGACGAGAGAGCCGAGAGGAAGCACGTGGCAATGTTACGCGCTGATGGGTAGGGCTCGCGGGGTGAAGACACGTGGGTGCTACGTGGGTTACATGCCGGCCGGCCGGAATTGTGTCTCCGGCCTAGCGGCTATAAATACCCACGGCGGCTACAGTGTAAGGGACTTTTTTTGGGGAGACGATCGATAGGCTATTTACAGAGCTGCCCGACCGCAGTCAGTTGGCCCTTGGAATAGCCATTTTAGATTGTATTAGGTCCTTTACCGATCAATAAAAGACTTTACTCGCTTTTGACTTGGTCGTATCTTTACCTTGGCCGCATTACGTGGAATTTACACTATCACTCAGCATATGCGGTTGAGGAAGGCGGGCTTTTATAGCGGGTGCCCAATAGAAATAGATTAGGAAACTTTCGTACAACATTCCAAAATTCGCCCAGAATTCTCAACGCATCGAGTCTCATTATTTCCCGAACCGAAACTTTCTGCTTTATTCTTGACGCGTCGAGTTTGACGTCGGAATTATGGACCTCTCGGCTGGCACTTCTCGACGCGTCGAGTTCTCCTGAACCCGAACAGCAACTTCGTTTTGACCCCGAGCTTGTCCTAGCATTTCCCCCTTGTCTTTGCAATTGATCTAAAATGGTTCCAAAACACTAACAAACACCGTAAAACATTCAAAATAAGTGTATAACCCTATCTAAATGAGAAAACAAGGGAATATGCAATTAAAGTATCAATTTAATGAACTTAGGCCCACAAATATATTCAAACTAACACTAGAAACATGTACAATTAAGCTCACATCAATACATCTCTTCCTTACTTTATACACAATGGATTGATCAATATAGAATCATTCCCAAAACTAATGTTGTCATCAAATTTTCCTTCTGGCTCCCAAAGCCTACTAGGAATATCTACAAACTTTCAAAGTCTTTTATTCCGGGTATATGTATCCATTTTCCAAGTTTGCCTAGGATTATCTACTGATTTTTCAAAGTTGATCTCAAACTCTTTTAGAAAATCTTGATATATATTAAAACTTAAATGGTTCCGAGAAGACTTTAACTTCTAAATACAACCAACCATATGACCAACATTCCTGATCAACAACAACAACAATAATTCTTACCATACAAAAGCAACATACACCAAAATATTATTTAAACTCTCGGTAGATATATCTAACCAGATAAATTCAACAATTTACCGCACAAGTATCTAATATCCGTATTACACACACATACTCAAACACGTTCTTGCAACCAAGTTACAAAATCATAATTTGTGTTCTTAAAAATAACAAAACAAGTGTTCTCAAAATCTAACTCTATAATAAAGCAAGAAGTTTTGCCAATCATTGTTTCCCGCCCAATGAAAACGACACAGTTTTGCTTTATTCCTAATTCGCGATTTAATTGCTTATTTATTTTCCGCGTGTAATGTGATTCCCCATTGGGAATATGCCTAGCCGTTCTTATTATTATACAATCCTTGGTTCCCAAGGAGTTCAATTAATGTAGAACTCTTTGGTATTGTAAACAAGATGATTACTATTAATATCAACAAAGCATAATGAACTGATCCGGCCTACATGAAAGAATTATATATATTACATACATTACATAGAATATGCAGAGTTGCAATATTCAAATTCACATTAATTGAGATGTGCGATTTCCAAAACATTGGCTGCTGGTATCTTCGTTTTTTGGAATTTTCAATATGTATAAATACCGGGCTTCTTCATGCCAAAACACTTCAGAAATTCAGATCACTTTACTACCTTTTCGAAAGCATTTTTCGGTGTTTCAACATGCCTTCCATGTTCATTGCTGTAAAAAACATTAAGCCGGAACACCAGCTCCGGGCAATACGAGTGAGAGCAGTACGTGTCTATGAAGTTCCCGAGAAAAGGGGAGAGGGGCAGGCCAGTAAGAGCATGGAAGTATTGTTCCATGATGAAGAGGTACTTTTATCTATTTGCCAATCTGATTTTATCTACTAATCTAATGGTCTTTCAATTAAGCTACTTTCATGCCATGTTATCTAATAATCTTAGTGTGTTTTGTTCTCTATAATTTGTTTTCTATTGTATTCGCAGGGAGACTACATTCATGCGAGTATCATCAAAAAAGACATTGGAAAGTATAGAGATACAATCAAGGAAGGGAAAGTTTTTGAAATCAAGAACTTCATGGCTTCTACAAACTACTATGTCTACAAGATTACAGAGCATGGTTTCATGCTAAAATTTAACTACAGAACACAAGTGAAGGAAATACATTCTAATGGCTTTCCTTGCAAAATGTTTATACTAAAGAGTTTGTTGGCTTTGAAAGATCCTGATGATGTGAATGACAAGGAACTGATTGGTACTAACTTTACCTTTCCTAACTGCTAATATTTTTTTATTATACTTTTAGTACTTCTTGCTAATATTTTGTTCATTTTGCAGATGTTATTGGAAGGGTAATTGAGATTTACAATTCTGTGGACAAGATTATAGGGGGAAAGGCCACCAAACTAATCGACTTTCAAATTGAAGACAATGCGTAAGTTTTTTAAAATGAACTTTGATTACATTAGAAAATGATGCAGTCTTATTTTTTTTTTTTAATACTTTTCTGTTTTTTTTTTCTGTTTCTAATCCAGTGAGAACACCATGATGTGTACACTCTGGAATGAACATGTATCTTCCCTTATGCCTTTTTACAATAGTGATTCGAAAGAACCACTGATTGTTGTCATTCAATGCTGTAGGGCTAAAGTTGTGGGTGGTGAGTTTCTCTACTGTTTTTTCCACTGTTTTCTGTCATCTTCTATTTTCTAAAAACATAGTATCTATAAATAAGTGCATCTATTTGTATAATTTTTTTAGGTGAAGTGAGAATAACCAGTTCGTATGATGTTACGAAGCTTTGGTTCAATGAGGATTTTCAAGAATTTCAAGAGTTTAAGTCAAAGTAAGTTTATGTTTTATATTTCTCCTATTTTTGTCATTTATCTTTATTAATGTAGGCTCTACTCTGGAATCCAGTACATTTATCTTTGTTATTTATTTTTGTTATTTATCTTTATTAATACATAGTACACTGTTTTTTTGTTTGTCAAAGTAAGTTTATGTTTTATATTTCTCATATTTTATATTTCTCCTATTTTTTTTATTTATATATAGTTTGAATCCAGTACATAGATGTTATTTATCTTTTTTTAACATCTATGTACTGGATTCAAACAAAAAAAAAAAACAGTGTACTCTGTATATATATTGGAGTATCATGCTGTACAGTCTATGCATTTCTTTAACATTAGTAAACTACCACTCAAAAAAAAAGATAGCTATTTTAATCCAGTACACAGTATTGTTGTTAGGTTGTTAAAATACATATGTAAAAAAGTTTCTAATGTTTTTGTAGGTTGAAAGCTGAGGGTACTCCAATGAGAAGTCTTAGTACTGGCACACTACATTCAAACTCTACAGGCACTAGTGAGTTTAATAATGCTTCTGTTATTGTAACTAACTGCCATGATATTAAGAAGGTTAAAGAGGTAATCCACACACTAAGCTAGCAACTCTTTCTTTTATTTGATGTAACTGATTTTGTTAAGTGCTATATATCTTTATAAAATTATTTGTATACTATAGGATGGGGAATACTATGTGGCTGCTGAGATTCTTGGTTTAGATTTTGAGGATGGTTGGTACTACTTATCATGCCTGAAACTTGGATGTAATAAGAAACTTAAAGAACAGGAAGGGTCACTTTTTTGTACTAAGTGTAAAAAGACTTGTATGATGGGTACATTTAGGTATAAAATAGTTGTTATTGCTCTTGACAAATCTGGAGATGCTCCAATGTTGCTTTGGGATAGAGAAGTGGCAGAGCTTGTGGGTATTCCTGCCTCTATTTTGTATGCAAAATACAAGGAGGTAAATTCATATAATTGGCTCTCAACATTTTTTTCCTAAACTGTTTATATTCTATGTTTTTAATTATGTTATTTATCACCTACCTAAACAGCTTGAAGTTGAAGTGCCACCTGAGTTGGATGCTATAGTTGGAATGAAGATGCTGTTTAAGATCAACTTCAAACTTGCTCAAAAGATGGGTCCCAATTACCCATTCAATGTTGTTAGGGTTGTAAGGGATGAGCACTTGCTTAAAACCTATGGTGACAGGTTTGTGGAGCATCAAGAGCAAGACTTAGTCTCTAGGATGATTGAGGAGGAAACTAACTGTAACACCCCGTGTTACGATCCTTAAAATCAATTAAATCATTTAATCAATTATCCAAAAGAAAGAATTAAATCACAATAATTAATTAGGAAAGGCCCACCATAGTCCACGGGCCTTTATCCCTAAACCCAATCCTTAGTTCCAAAAGAAATAGAATTAGCAAGCCTATAATATTAGTTCCTAACTAGGACTCCTAAATATATAAATAGGGGACTTAAGAGGCACCTAGAACCCCCCCCCCCACCCACCACAATAAACGTTCCACCACCCCAAAGAGCTCCAAGAATTCCCTTAGAAGAAATCAAGAAAGCAAGAAAGCTTAAAGAAAGACCCTTCATAGCCAAGGAATTAATTAAGGCTAAGAGGTAACCCATGTCTCAACAAAACCTATTTTCATAGCTATGATTTCCCCCGTAGGATTTCCCCATATTATTGTGTATTGATGATTTGTATTATTATTATTGATGATTGATGGGATAATTCCATGGGTGATCTTGATGATGAAAGGTTCTTGATAATTATGGTGTTCTTGATGATTATATGACGTTCTTGATGATTATATGATGTTCTTGAGGATTGTAGGATGTTCTTGATGTTTATATGATATTCCTACCGAATCTTGATATTAGAAGATGAATTGTGTCCTGTGGATTTAAAAATGATTAGAACCCTAGGTTGTATCGTATGGAATTATTCTTGGTATATTGCGTGGGATTTCGCATGATTGGGTGTTTATTATGTTTAGAAAAGCATGATAGGTTATGTGCCGTTTGTTTCTTGATTTCGATCCGTTAATTGTCTACGTGTGTTATCAATTGCGTTTGAAAGTGTCTAAGCATGGTTTCGGGTTCCACAAAGGTTCCCGGGGCGTTTTGATGAAAAAGAGTCAGTGGGGGGTAGGTGGGGGTAGGGGACCCACCACCTACTCGCGGCCAAATCGGGCAACGCCGGACCGCCGGGCACCCGCTGCCCGGATTTGTAGAACGCCGGCGGGTGACCCCCACCCACCGGCTACCCGCTGGAAATTTCCACCCTTCGGGGCCCCGGCTTCCCCGTTTGATGTTCCCCCGACCCCCGTGGTGTCCCAACGGACTCCGTCTATCGTGCCTATGTCTAGTTTGATTTTCGGGTACCGTTCGTAGGTCGTATGAGTCTTATATATTGCATGCTAGTTGAATTGGTATCTCGTTGACCTAGGTGAAAGAAGTATGAACCCCTTAGGACTATTCTTAGTATGTGAAGGATCACGCATAGGTTTTGTTATACGTTTTCTCCCCCTTCCCAATGTGTTAATGTGGGTTGCATGTGCTTGCTATATGTTATGTGTGCATGTTACCTCGACTTGGTTGAGATCAATCGGGCTATACGGGCAGTCGGGTGGGCTGAGAACCATACCGGCTGTTAACCAGGCCGGTAGAGACCGGTCAGGTATATAAATATTATATAGGACTAAGATCCACTATACGGGCAGTTGAATGGGTTGAGAACCATCCCAACTGTTAACCAGGCTGGTAGAGACCGGTCAGGTATATAAATATTATATAGGACAAAGGTCCACTATACGGGCAGTTGAATGGGTTGAGAACCATCCCAACTATTAACCAGGCTGGTAAAGACCGGTCAGGTATATAAATATTATATAGAGCTGCGGCTCATCGGTCGGTTGCGATCGACCCCTCCATGCTGTGAGACGGGGCAGGGTGCTGCGGGGCCGTGTCAGAGCTATATGCGCTGACCCTTATGTATGGGCATGTGATTGGTCCTGTGGCGCCAACAAAGTGTGCTATGTGATGAAGTATGGATGAGTTGTTGTTATGAGTATCTTGGGGATGAGACTATGAGATTTGTACCGGGGATCGTATAGGTTGGGTTATGATTATTCATTGTGCTTATCTTATCTGTCTTGCCTGTTGTAAACTGTATATGCTTGGTATAACTGCTGTCTGTGCTTAGCCCTATCTGTTGAGTCTATCCCTGTTTCAAAAGCTAGAGTTCGTAGGAGATATCTTCATGTTCAAAATGACTTTTCATATATCTATATATATATATATATATATATATATATATATATATATATATATATATATATATATATATATATATGTATTGTATTTCAACGCGTTGGAGTGGGTTACCAGCATCTCTCGCTGAACAGATATATTTGGCTTTCAGGCACAGAAGAGTAGGTCACTGGAGCGCGCTAGAACTTGGAACGTAGAAGTAGATAGCTTCCCTTTCGGCCTGCGTGCCATGTTTATGCGTTACATTATTGAGGATATTAGTTAGTTAGCCTGTGCACATGAGTTCTCTAGCTCAGGTGTGGCATAGCACCCCGTACTCTTGTATTATGTTTTGGGATTTAATGAGATTTCACCTTTATTTTATAAGTTTTAAATATCTTGAAAATCTGGGGTGTTACAGTTGGTATCAGAGCCTAAGATTGACCCTAGGGTAAGACTCTTAAGACCAGACTTTAGGACATTAAGCTCAAACTCTAGGTACTTAGGCACATAAGATTTGGAAATCCTAGGACGCGCAGTGAGATTGTGAAACCTACACATAACCCACCAACTTACTCCCTCTCTAAAAAGAAACTCCCCCTTCACTTATTGCATCCAGGTAAGAATACAAAATAACATCGACTTATGAACACCAGGATGGCACCGAAAAAGGGACAGACAGGGATACCGAAACTCCCCACTCAGGAATTCTTGACACAGAATCTGCAACGCCTGGCCCAAATTGCCCAGGCACTGAGGACTACCATTCCCCAACCCTTACCAACAAACGAGAACTTGGAAATCCACCACCAAGTCTCGGCACATCAACCACCCACCTTCTCAGGGAACGAAGACCCCACAGCCCTCAAGGAATGGATCGGAACTTTCGACAAGATATTCAGGGCAACCAAATGCCCCGAAGACCACCAAGTAAGAATAGCCTCCTTCTACTTCAAGCACGAGGCCGATACCTGGTGGGACCACGAGGGACCCACATGTAAACATAACCATGAATTCAACTGGGAATCCCTAAAGGCACGACTACGAGAACGATTCTATCCCAATCATCTAAGAGCCACCATATATGAAGAATTCTTCCACCTAAGACAAGGTGCAACCTCGATCACGGAATACTACCAACAATTCCACCGACTGGCTCGCCTCATCCCCGAGCTAGTACCCACCGAGAGGATCAAGATCGAAAAGTTCATAACAGGCCTTGACCCCGAATATCAAAAAGCCCTGGCCACACAAGAGCTAGGAACCCTCGGGGAGGCCTATGCCAAGGCATCCCAACTACAACAAGTGCCAAACCAACCCTGGGAGACACACCTGGGGTACAAAAGGAAATCCGAAGGAAATCATATGAACTCCAACCGCGGACCTAAAAACCCCAAGGCCACCTCACCTCAACAGGTCACAACACCAACCACTCAAGGGAGAATCCTTACTCTAAGCAAAGCCAGGATTGGAGATAACAACATAGTCTCCGGAACCTTTCTGGTACACGCCACCCCCGCCACTATACTATTTGACTCGGGGGCTACCAACTCGTTTATAGCAACTGAGTTTGCCACTCAGCTCGACCCCAACGCCAGCACCAAGGTCCGACTTCAGGTCAAGGTGGCCTCCGGCGAGATCCTGAAATGCGACCGCATGTAC